TGGACTAATTTTTTTAACTTTCGGTTTCTTTTTTTTTTGTTAGTTAAAATTATAAAAACTTTAGAATAAAAATAATAATCATTCGACATTTTCTGACACAATTATTAACCGTTACCAGAACTACTTACATTACAATATTACGGTTAATCAGATTATACTACTCATTAACACAAAAGGACAAGTTGATTGACATTTAAAAAAAGTCAATTTGTGATTAACGAATTTAATAAGTAACTCTTTAAAAAATAGTTTAATTAAATGAACTATTGCGGAAAAAAGGTCGTGGATCTTGAGGCTTCTGAGCTAATAAGGCCACAAGAGATCGAAAAAGCACCGTAAAAGGGAAAAACGGCAGGATGGTGAAAAGCTGAAACTAAAAACGGTGAAAAGTGTTATTTTCCTCTTTGAAGAAGTCTGTAACGAGTATAACAAAACCACATGCATTTTTCCTTTTCTTTCTCTCTTTCTTTTTTAGCTTTTTAGTATCTTTTAGTTTTACCAAGTCACTTTGTTCCAAAAGACTTATCATCATCGACTATAAAACCGACCCCAAAACTGTGAACTTCTTTTTACAAATCAGACTCAGATTTTAATTTATTTCATAAATTATTCTCCTTAATTAACTTTAGGGACCAAAGAGCATCTAATTCCTTGCTCTTTTAATGGATTCTTGAATGCTTCAATAAATGTATCATTCCCTATCCTTTTTTTTGTTTTTCAAAAATCGAAGACTATGTGGTTTTTTACAAGGATATTGAATCATAAAAACATATGAATAGCATTTTTTATAGGTGCATAGAAGTGTTACAATCTATACACAACTAGGCCAAACACAATAATGATATTAGCTGGTGGAAAAAGATGATAAGGATTGAAGGGAGGAAGTGGAGGCCTAAACAACAAAGAAAATGACACCCAAACAAAAACACATCGTAGTTACTACAATAAATTTTTTTTTTCATCATCTTTTTCATTTAAGTAACATAAATAACAAGCAAATGAAGTTGAAGGATGCTGCCACAATATTTTGATCTTGGTTTCGTCTTGTTTATGGACAAGTCCTCGAAGATGGACAAGGTCGAGAGGATGGACAAGATCTAGAGGATAGACACTGGATATAAACTAATTGAAAAATGGAACACATTATGATTCTACTTCTTTGTTATTTCATGCCAATAAAAAATCATATCTCCTACATAAAATTTTCATAACTTTCTTTTTTCAAATTTTTTTTTCATAAATAAACATATCTCTCTCTACATAACGTAACATTGTAACAGTATACTACAACTTGATCAATATATACAACTTCTCAATTGGTTTACCTTCTTCTTTATTCCTAAACTACATGCATGTATCATGAAACCTGATTTTGAAGGGCTAATGAAATTTGCTCGGTTCAGCTAGTGCGGTTCACACCATATTCTACACTTCCAAAATCAGAAGCTGTAGATTTAAATGGGAAACACTACATGCAAGACCATGAAAGGGTTTTATTTGGCAGGCCTTTCTCGATATGAAGATTGCACTTTGAGATTGTTTATGCTTATGAATTCTTATTGACCAACTTGCATGATGTCACTCCAACAAGTTACAACAAAACTTCACCCTTATTCTAATACCTTTCTTAATTAATGCGTCCATGGATCTTGCTCTG